CGCTTCCCTGGCAAGCGCAGGGGCCTGAGCTCAATCCCCAGTTCCGCAAAAAAAAAAAAAAAAAAGATGCAGACATGATATCTTATTTACAAACACTATTAAAACAAATCCCTCTATTCATTAAGAGAATGTAACTATATATCTATCCTAACCATTTTGAATACACAGATACAAAACGGACATTTATCTGTATCCCCTTTTTTGTTTAGTTCCGTCATTTGAATATTTTTTCGTCAGTTGAATATTATTGGTGTGTTAACTCAGCAAAATATTCTAAAAGAGTCTAGTAGTCCATAATAGCATTGGGTCTTCCACTTGACTGGCAGTGTGAGAAATTGTTGACCTGAGTCCCCTATAGTTCAACATAAGGGGCCAGGGAGATAGCTCAGTAAATAAGCGCTTGCCTGGCAAGTGCAAGGACCTGAGTTCAATCCCCGGTTCTGCCAAAAAAAAAAAAATCAATCATTTTGGGGGCCTGGCCCTAGCTCAGTTCTTTAAGTGGCTGCGTCCACCAAGCTGTCAGCCTCAGGTTTGTTCCCCACAACTCTCCAGCCAGCCACACAAGCCCTGAGGGCATTTGGAGCAAAAACAAAACAAAACAAAACAAAACAAAACAAAAAATCCTATAGTTCAACATAACACCATAGCTTTACTTCTTATACTTCGTTTTTATACTTTTCTGCTGGACGGTTAAGATAAAGCAAGACCTATGCAACAAGAGTTGTAGCTTTTGGAATTGATAAATTCAGTCAAATCCCCTCAGGATTTTTCCTGAGATCCTGTAACTTCAGATTGTAGATCCTTTGTGGGTGCTTACGTATGATTATTATGCGTGTGTGTGTGTGTGTGTGTGTGTGTGTGTTTTGAAATGAAATCCAAGGATTCAAAAATGGTAGGTGCATGCTCTATCACTGAGCTATGTACACTCTAGCCCTGATTTTTTGAAATCAAATTAAATCCGACATAACCAGCTCCTACATAGTTGACAACAAATGTTAAACTAGTAATTTACAGGAACTCTTCTGTTGAATTTTCAAGACCACCAGAGCTTAAGAAGCCAAATAAAATTCTGGAAGATTCCATCTTTCATAGCTCTATTAGAGTCTCTATTTTTACCAAAATTTATTTATTTCATGTATTTGGTATAGGGTCTCACTACGCAGCTCAGACTCATAGGGATCCTCCTGTTTTCAGCCTGTTCAGTGCTGGAACTAAAGGCCTGCGTCACCATGCTGACTCTGTGGTTGGCTCAGTGTGCCCAGGGCGTGGGTCAGAGTGGCATTTGGTGCTGGGGATCAAGTCCCTGTCTCTGTGCTTGACTGGACCTCTTTACCAAAATTTAAATGAATGTCCATGAGGACTGGGAGTGTAGCTCAGTGGTAGGAAAGAAAAAAAAAAAAAACCAGGCAAATAACTGAAATGAGTTCATCAGGTCAATCTTAACTAAGAGATAGTAGGGAGGGCTGGAAAGATAGCTCAGTGAAATAAGCACCTGCCTCTCAAGCACAAGTTTGATCAGAAGAAATGCTTTGTCTAAAAATGAATAGCAGCTGAAGGCACCAACAAATGCTTATTGAATGTCCATATTTTCCAGGTTTTTTTTAAAAAGGAAAACTAGAAATCTGAGTTTTCATGTGATAGCTTTTAAACTCACAGAGTAGCTGGATGGGCGGTGCTCACACTTAATATAATCTCATTCCAGAGGCTAAAGCAAGAGGATCATAAAGGGTTAGAAGCCAGCCTGGGCTACATAGTGAGTTCAAGGCCAGCCTGAACTACTTGTTTTAAGCACCTGTTTTGTTTTGTTAATTCACACTGTAAATTCAATGATTTTCTTTTTAAGTAAATTTATCAAGTTGTGCAACCATCACCAGAAATCAGTTCTAGAACATTTTCTGCACTCCAATTAGGTCTCTTCCGAGCATTTCCTGTTAATTCCTATGTTGACCCTCTTCCTGACCCCAGCCATTACCCTAGACAATGAGCAATGTACTTTTTGTCTTTATAGCTTTGCCTTTTATGGATATCTCAATAGATGGGATGATTCAATACGAGGTCTCTTGTGTCTGGCTTCTTTCACCGAGCTTGGAGAATGTTTTCAAGGTTCATCCTTGTTGCACATCATTGTTTATTATTTTTTATTGCTGAGTGGTATTGTGGTGTATGGATCTACCATTTTTTGTCTATCTATTTATTAGTCAAACATTAAATTGTTTTTAGTTCTTAGCTATTATGAATAATGCTGTCATAAGCATTTCTGTGCAAGTTTTTGTATCCACATAAGTTTACCTCCTTTTCTTCCTTTTGTCTTTTTAGGTAGATAACTAAGGGTAGAATTGTGGTATCATATGGTAAGTTTACATTCATTTAAATTTCTTTTGTTGTTATAATCAAAAGCACACAATGTATTTAACTTTCAAAGAAACTGTTTTCACGAAGACTGAGAGTTCCTGTTTCTCTAGTTCCTCACCATTATTTTCCATTGTCCCCCCTTACTTGATTACAGTCATTCTTGAGGGTGTGAAGTGGTATCTTGTTGTGGTTTTGATTTGCATTTTCATAATGGCTAATAATGTTTAAGAGCTCTTAATTTTTATTTATTTACTTATTTTTAGAGCTCTTAATTTTTTAAATTTGTTCAAATGAAAAATGCTGCGTATCAGTTCTGTACAGCTGGAACAAAACAAGTTCATGGGCTGGACCTGCCCTGCGGGAACAAATTTGGACTTCTAACCTAGACCTGCAAAACAATGCTCTGTGAACTTTCACTTTGGTGGGTAAAAATTTTAAAAATTTGCCAGTAAAAATTACTAAGGAGAAAGAAAAGAAACATTTCTCACATTTTTGTAATAAGATTGTACACTAGAAAAATTTCAATCTACTTACTCAAAAAGTTGTTTTAGTATGCTATATATTCATTGAATGAGTTCATTGCATTTTGTTTTGTTTGGTTTGTGCTGCTGGGGCTTAAACGCCTAGCCTTTGCACTGTGGTACATCCCCAGCTCTTTTCTCATTTTTAAATTTTGGGGCAGGGTCTCCGTAAGCAACTAAGACACATCTTGCTGTGTCTTCTTTTTGGAGGTGAGATTAAGGAGTTTGTCATTGTTGAACACCTAGGAAGTGGCAGAATTGCCATTCAAAGGCATCTGTCAGGTTCTAAATCCTGATTTCCTTAACAAAATCGCAGCAGGGTCAGAGATGGAGCTACTGTTGGATGATGGGAGCCAGGGGCTGGTGTGGGAGAGCTTCAAAGGACACAAAGGGAGCAAAGAGGTTTTTGAAGATTGGTTTCATGAACAAACCAAGAGAACTTTGGGAGAAAGAAGTTAGTGGGTGGAAGGGAAAATAGGAAAAGACTATCTTGGGACCTACCATTTTGCACGTTTCATTCATTTTCCCTCTCATCCAGGTAGAAGCATCTAGCAGACAATAGAACACGTGGAGCCAAAGTGCTGGAGAGATGCCAGAGGGAGACATACACTTGGGGACTAAGTGGATTTTTCATCAAGACTAGTCTTTGTGGGATTTCATTCCGGTGAACTTCCTACGCTCCTGTTCTGATGGTCTACTGAGTTTGTTTTAAAATGAAGAGGAAGTTTTAAATGATGAAAAACCACAGACCTGATGGCTTATGGAGCTGTGTGTGGAAGCTGTAAACACGGAATATTGCATTTTGAAATAACATCACTGACAACTAATTCAGGCCTTAGAGTTGGTCTTGGGTCTTCGCTATACACATTTTAAAAAACTGAAAAGGACGATCACATCTTTTGCACCGTTAATTTGTACTCCTTGTGCAGACTATACTAAGAAGGACAGAACTTTTCTTGGGGCCAAGTCACAAGACATCAGGACAAGGGGCACTTACCCCAGTGGGCAGGTGGGGGTGGGGCACCCGCTGGGTCTGGACAAAGGACAATACAGATCCTGATTCTTACTTTCCCAGGAAGGACTCTGCACTCAGCTGCCTGGAGTTTTCTGAATTCCAGCAAAGCCTTCCTTATCACACTTCCTGCCTTGTTTTGGTTTTTTGCTTTACTTATATCATGACTAGAAGCTTCTTGGGTGCTTCCATAATATATAGTAAATTATACACATATATCCAGTATTAAATAGCTACATCTTATTGCAAATGTTAGCTTGCAAATGTTGCATCTTAATGCAAACATTAGCTCTTAAGTTTTTTATAAGGATATCTTATTTTGTTCTTGTGATTAAGGCTATTGTACACATATAGTTAAGAGTTGTGTTGTAGTTGAGTAGATGCTGCAGACATTTCATTAAATATTTATTAACTTCGATTTTTTAGCTTCCCTTCCTTATTTTGGAACCTATTTATTTCTTTTTATTACAGGTCTTAGGTGTTTTCTGAGGCCTGTGAAAAAGAGCTCACAACGTGAAGAAATGACAGCCCTGCAGGAACCCACAGAACCCCTCAGCAGCTCCTCTTACATAGGAAGCTCTAGTAGATGAATGAACGAAGGAGGTGAATGAAGTGTTTTTCTCAAGGGTCCTCTCCAAGGCTCGTCAGCTTCTTCGGGAATCTCAGCCCTGCCCGGAGGCTGGACCAGGAGGCCCCTCCTCTAGCTAACACTAAAACTGCCACAGCGGAGAAAGGTGTCCGGCGGCCCGAGCTCGCCGACCTAGGCAGCATCGTCTTGGGGGACCCTGTTGTGAGCGTTAGCCAAGGCGACTGCGACCTGGGACCCCGGCGAACGCGGGCGCACGGGCGGAGCCGCACTGCTCCTCCCGGCGTCCCTCCCCCACTGCAGGTGAGCCGCAGAGCCGAGCCCCCCCACCCAGCCCAGGGTGACGTCAGGCCTCTGGACCGCGTTCCGGCCCCGCCCCTGCAGGCAGCGCCCGGGGCCCGCGTCTTCGCGGTAAAAGCCCGTCCTGCAGCAGGACGATCGGACTGCGGCAGGCCGACGCGGCTAGGCGCTCGAGTAGGCTGCAGCGGCCGCCCGACGCTAGGTCGAAGCTCTTGTAGTCTGGACTGGGAGCTCCTGTCGCGCAACACCTGTCCTACTGCGCGCACAGCCCGGGCTCGCGCAGCTCACCGGCCGCTGCAGGGTCCGCACCCGTTGCCTCGCGGGATCGCTGGGCGCCCAGCCGGCCTCTGCTGTCCATCTCCACCCGAGCCAGCCAATCGCCTGCCCCTGCCTCGGCCGCACCTCCCGGAATCTCTGATGGGCGTGAGAGCCAGCCTATGAGATTGGGATCCTGGCGGTCTGGACCGGGAGCGGGAGCCAATGAGCAAAATTCCAGGTGGGTGGAGGGAACCAGACTCGAGAAGGTAGCTTCGTTCGGGTTGCTAACGTCTTCCCTTGGAGATGGGTGCGCAAACGGACCAGTGGGTCTGGGGGCGGCGGTGATGGGCGTGGGGCTGGCCCAATGAGGGTGGGAGTGGGTGGGGCCGCCGCGAGCAGCAGTGCTAAAGGAGCCCGGCGGAGGCAGCGGTGGGTTTGGGACTGAGGCGCCGGATCTGTGGTCGCGGTCGGGGACGTGCGCGGGCGCCACCATCTTCGGCTGAAGGTGAGTGAGAGGTGCGGCTCCCGGGTTCGAGCGCCACGGCCTGGGGTGCGAGGACAGTTTCTAAGGGTCGGGGGGAGGGGACAGATCCCGGGCTTGGGGACCCGGCGGCTGTGGCGCGCAGGAACGGAACCCAAGGCGGGAGGATTCGTGCTGCGGGCACCCTCAGCTCGTTTAAGCTGGGACCTGGGAGGGGTGGAGAAGAGGCTGTGGGACCTGGAGGGTAGGGAAGGAGAAACCCCTGGAAGGGTGAGGAATGGGTTCTGGGAGAGTGAGACCCCTGCAGGGATCTGGGCCCAGCTGTGCAGGAGGGCGACCCCTGGGGTGTGAGGATGGAGATCTGGGGGTGCGGTCCCAGGGACCAGGTCTCCTGTGGGATCCCTGGCGGCGTGGAATTGAGGTGGCGGCTAGTGTCCTAGTGGGGCCCCAGGTTTCCCCGCGGGTCTGTGTCTGCCTTCCAGGAGAGGACTGGGTGCTGGGGCGTGATGCCGGTGGCGGGGGGCGCTGGACCGGAAGGGCCCCTGGGTGAGTTAGGCTGGGCCGGGCTCCCGAGGCATTGCAGAGGGGTTCGTCGAGGGCTCAGAAGGCAGGCGGCGGACCTGTGGGTGGACGGGCTGGAGGGCAGAGAGGCTGAGCGCGGCCCGAGCCGGCCGCCGGGAGGATCGCGCTCTGCCGGTGCCGGGCGACGATCGGGGAGTGGGGGGGTAGCAAGGCGCGCGCCCGGTGGGCCGCCGGGGCCGGGTGGACGCCGGGCGAGGCCTGGGCGGTTTAGGGGGGCGAGGCGGGAAATGTGGCGGGGGCGCGCTGCAGCCTGGCGGCCGGGGGGAGGGTCAGCCCTCGCGTCGGGATCTCTTTATTGTGTAAGTGATCTGGGAATGGCTCGCCGCAGTCTCTTCCTCGCCTGCTGTAGTTGGGGTCACACCCATATCCCATAAAATCGAACTGGAATTGGGTCGGAGGGAAGTTGAAGCTGCGGAGTCCTGACATTGGCGGGGCTTTGTGGGCCTGTCGTGGGCGGCTTCGGCCCAGGGACCCGGGAGGCAGCCAGGCCTGCGTGGGACCGGTGCCCTAGGAAGGAGACTGGCAACTCGGCAGGGCTGAGCCGGGTTGGTGAGGTTTGGGTAACGTGGCCTCTGCCTACAACCGTTATCTCCGTCTCTTAGGGCCTCTGCAGCTCCCCTTCAAGATCACTGCGGTGGATGGAAGGGGGTGGGGTGGGCTAGGGTGGAGTAGGGGAAAGCAGGCGGGGTGGATCCAGACTGCAGATGAAACAAAGACTGCTGTTTTCGCGAATAATATAATACTAAATATAATACTTTGGCTATGCTGAGATTTTGGTGGTGGTGGTGTTTTTAACATTGAAACTGAGTCAGGTTTAATTATTTTTGATGGTATCTTACTCTGGAAAACTTTATAATCTATTCATTGTTTTATCTCCTCCATCAGTCTGCCTCTATTAATTATTCTTGTAGTCCCATGCTTTTGGTGTTTAAGTGTGCCCTGGCTGTCTCGGGTTCTGGAATAGTGGCCATTTTATGCATCTCCTCACTTCTGCATCTTAAATTCAGTTCTTCCTCTCCTTATCGGGAGCAAGCATATGGTGTAATTGTGCGATATAGCAGAGGCTTCTCCGATGTTTACTTGGGCTTCTTAGGGAAAGCATGACAATGAAGAGACAGGACAGAAGGTGAGATGGAGGAAAATTTGAAGGACATGTTCTAGGGTGGAAAGCTATATGCTTCTGTGGTGCATTTACTTTGTTGTCACATATGAAGAATTAAAATTCCTGGTTTTGGGATCCAAGTTTTAGGAATACTTAGCACAGTGTAAAAATATGAATTGAGAGATGGTGCAGGTCATAGATAGTACCTTTTGCATTTGTTTTGTGATCATTTGTTTAAGCAGAGTTTTGATAAGTTACTAGATTTACACAGTCCTGTCATGTAAGTGACCTCAACTGTAGCTCTCATTAAACAAATTGGGACAATTGTTTTACTTCATCTGTTTTAGGATTTCCTTTTTTTTTTTTTTTTTTTGTTGGCAGAACCAGGGATTGAACTCAGGCCCTGTGCTTGCCAGGAAAGCGCTTATTCCACTGAGCCATCTCCCTGGCCCCAGGATGCTCTATTTTAGATAACCTGTCTAGCATTTTTGCTTACTTTTTTTATGTAAGCTGTTCGCAACATTGCACTTTTTCTCTCTTTACAATGTGACAGTGGGTGCCAGCAGGCAGTTGAAGTTTACAGGGTGGGACTTCATTGGGAGTGTAAACTGACCAGGAGATAGAGAGCCCCACAGTGTGTCTAAAACCAGTCATGATGGTGGGAGCTTCGGTTTGTAGGGGATTCACTGATTCACAGGTAAATGATTCAATTATAGTTAGAAAACTATTTTGAAGGACACCAAGACAAAATATCTGGAGATTATCTTCAAACCTCTTACAAAAGGGTTCTTGTTTTAGTCTTTTCTGTCCTAAGTACAAGTATTTTTACTTTAATATACAGAGGCTTTGCCACATTGTACTAATGTGCTCATAAGGTAACCTTCTACTCTTTAAGCCACAATTGATAGCTTTTTTATTTAGTGACAGGCAATATACAGTTTACTACGTGCCCTTCAAAATTTCCTCCCTCCTGTCTTCCTTCATAGTGACCTACACACCGGACTTGCCCTTTGGATTTAATCACAGTTCTGTCTGGTGCTTGCTGGCTGTGTGACTTTGGGTGGGTCGTTACCTTTCTCTAAAGTACCTCAGGTTCTTCATCAGTAAGGTGGAGATAATAATTATACGCCCCTCATGGTGCTGTTGTGAGGATGGATGTGTCCAGGCTACCTAGTGCCTGGACATAATTAGAAGTATATAACAATGATATTTGGTATTTGAAAAATTCCAGTTTTATCCTTTTAGCAACACAAAACATTTGGGAGTGGTATGTTGTTAAATACCAGGATTCCCCAGATCAGATACCAAATGTACAATGGAGTGAAAAAAACAAACGTATTTGGCAATCACCAGTGAGGAGTTAAACTGAACAAAACATCTTCACTGGCCTCTTGAACTCCAGCAGTTGAACAGTATGAGTGGCTGCTGCTTTCTGAGTTAGCCCTCTGGTGCTGTGCAGGAGAGGGCAAGAAGAGCAGTACAAAATGTAAGGAGAAGAGAGGATTAAATTGCCAGATTGACCTGAAAAGAACTTCTGAAGGGTGACATTTGGGTCAGGAGTGGAAGGAATAGTAGGTTTCTGGTTGTGGAGAAGTTGAAGCTTACCGTGAGGGTAGGGACCATTCATGTAGGATTGATCAGTAAGTATAGATCCACTGTTACGTACCAGTGACTCTGCTAAATGCCCAAGATACAGCAAGGGAAAGAAAAGAGTAAAAGTAATTTGTGATCCTCCTACTCAGTAAAGGCCCAATGAATATTTACTCCATTAAAAAAATACATGTGTATATAATTGCACAAATTCAGGAGCATGTTGTGATATTTTTAGTTTTTTTTTCTTGTATTACATTACAAATATCTTTATACCTAAAAAAAAAAAAAAGTACTGCTCAATTTTAAATTTTCTTATTTTTAAACATAATTTTTACAGGGCCGGCGAGATAGAACAGCAGACTGAGCACCTGCTTTGGCAAGCGCAGGGACCAGGGTTTGATCCCAAGTTCCATATGCTGTGCCAGCCCCTCCGCCGGGGCGCCCTGAGCCAGCAACCAACTGACCAACTCATGGTGGCTTCACCCCTATAATCCTAGCATTGGGGAGGCCAAAAACAGGAGGATCACTATGAGTTCAAGCTGCATAGTGAGGCCCCGTACCAAAATACATAAATAAAAAAAAATAATTTTTACAATATTTGTTTCATGACCCATTCTAGAAAGGACCTGTAATTTTAACTTGTAGCCACCTATTAAATTGAAGAATATAATTATATACCAAAGGTAGAGCAATCTGGATGTGTACTGGAAGCAACGTAGAATATATAAGTTATACCAAACAAGAATAACTTATCATTTCATTACTAAAATAGTGGGATACTTTGCTTTACTAGAGTCCATTCTAAAAGGATATATCCTAATACAAAAGGATGCCATTTGTATCCTAATATTCGTCCTCAAATTCACCTAGGCTGATTACCACACCCCATTTTACTAGTATGCAGTGTTTAAGTTTTTCAGTTAGAAATACTTGTTATTAGTCTTTGTTTTTTTTTTTTTTTTTTTTTTTTTTTTTTTTTTTTTTTAGAGACAGGATCTCTTTTTGTAGTACAGGCTGATCTTGAACTCCCTATATAGCTCAGGCTGGTCTTGAACTCACCACAATCCTACTGCCTCTGCCTCTAGAGTGCTTGGATTATAGGCATGTTCCATGACTCCCACTTTTGTTATTAGTTTTCATAAGCTTTATACCCTTAGGGCCAGCCAAGTAGTTCAGTGGACTGAAGTGCCTGCAAGCAAACACAGGGGTCCAGGGTTCAATCCCTGCACCTGGGAGGCTTTAAACAGGCGGATCACTATGAGTCCATCTAGTAGTGAGACCCTGAACACCCTGAGGACGCTTCCCTAAAATAAAAAATTTTTTTAAAAAAAGCTTTATCCTTAAAGGTAAAGGGCTCTTGAAGCCATACTTCTGAGTGTACACAGGCCCATAAATATTTTCTGTATTGTTTACACATGGATGTCTAAGAAGGGAAATATAAGTTTAGTTCTAAAATGTCTTAGCAGGTTTACTTTAGAAGTCTAATATGAATCACAGTTTTGTGATTTTTTTTTTTAATTTTGTATTTTTTTTTAGGGAAGGGTCTACAGGGTGTTCAGGGTCTCACTACTAGATCAGACTCCTAGTAATCTGCCTGTTTATAGCCTCCCAAGAGCTGAAATTATAGACATGTGCCACCATGCCCAGTCTCAATTGCTGTCTCAGCCCGCCCTGGAGGTGGCGCCTGCATGGCAGGCCTGGGGATTGAATCTGGCTCCAGCGCCTGCTTGCAAGTGCTTTAATCCACTGAGCTATTTGGCCAGCCTTTTTTTTTTTCGAGATTTGTGATTTAGATTTACTTTGTTTAATTTTAAAAATCCAAATCTATGACCTTTAAAAGGTCAATACATTCTTTTGATCATGTAATGAATTACTCTAGAGCTTTGCTTTTCAGTCTTTATCTGCCCCAACCAACCAAGTAGTAATGGTGGCAGGTTGTGGCAGCCAGAGAATTGGGGAGCAGTGCTTGTGAACTGTGGCCCAGGACTGACAGCAGCAGCACTATCCAGGTACTTGTATTTGGTGATTCTTCCTTTTTTTTTTTTTTTTTTTTGCGGAACTGAGGATTGAATTCAGACCCTTGCGCTTGCCAGGGAAGTGCTTATTCCACTGAGCCATCTCCCTGGCCCCACTTGGTGATTCTCGAGCTTTAGTCTAGACCTCCTGAATGAGAACCTCTGGGTCTGTGGCCAGCATTCTGCATGTCCGTGCGTTCTCCTGGTACTGCTGCTGAATACCAAAATCTGAGACCAAATACTGAGTCTACTTAGCATCTTTATCCACTACGATGATTAACCTAATAGGACACACAACTTGAATCTAAACAAAGTCATCAGTGTTCTCCAGAGGGCAACACATAGGCACATAGTAGTGTCCAGCATGTTTCTCCCATTTCATGGAGCTTGGAGTTCATCTATGAATTCAAGCTTAAAAGCCCATTAGCAAGTTTGGATCACTGACTATTTCCCTTATAGCTTACAAGGGATGTCTCGTAGGTATCCTCTTGCCTGCAGAAAATCCTCAACATTCCTGGCACTTGGGTGGGAGGAGTTGAGGAGATGTGATAAAGTAAGAATAGTCAGTTGGCTTCTTGTACTGATTTGGATAAAATTGTAGAAACTGTATGACATTTGTAATGACACATAATTTGAAATAATAGCAAAAAATGTTTGGGATAGTATTATATTTTAGGAAAACAGTCAGGAATAACAAGTCGTATTAGCAAGATGAACGATAAACATAAAATCCTGCCATTTGTTCCAAAAGACCAATTGCACAATATTAGGAGGAGAACTTAGCAACCTTCTCCAGAGTACTTGGATTATAGGCATGTTCCATGACTCCCACTGTCTTTTACTATCTACTCTGGTAGATCTCTATGAGCCAAAAGGCCTGGATACCCAGCTGTATATGACTAGTAATGTCATGTGACTCCAAGTTACACTTGTCTTTGGTGGCCCCATTTGATTATGTAAAGACTATGTGGGACCATAGAGAAGCTGTCGAGGGACTGACATGGGGTATCTGTGAGGAAGAACATGGAGTCTGAAGATAGACTGGGAGGCATGCGTTCAACCTGATTCTGGCAGTCGTCATGTGCTCTTGTAGCCATATCCTTGTGGTCATACTAGTTCCACGGATGCTTTTTCATGTGTCTTTATATTCATTTGCTTCTTTCTACTTTCCCTTCTTAGTCCCCTGTTTAATTTGTGGTGAGGGTAAAAGAGGAGATGGAGAAAAAATAAGGTCACTTTGGAACTTTGCTTTTTTTTCTTCTGCCTGCTTCTCAGCCCCCAGTAACTAAGATCTTATTGAGTGGTCATCAGACATCCAGAGTCATAATTAGTGGTCACCCCTTAAGTTTACCTTGGAAACTTAGGCAGTATGGCCATGACCAGGAACACCCCAACTCCTTCACTCAGAGTTTACTCCTTATGTTTACTAAGGATTTTGTTTTATTTCTCAAAAAAATAAACCTTGTAAATTATTTTATATTTGGCAGACATCTGACTCTATCCTTCTTTTTCTCAGAGGCAATTGCTCTTGGATCCTTCTGTTTACAATGGCGCAGAGAACTGGACTGGAGGATCCGGAGCGGTATCTCTTTGTGGACAGGGCTGTCATCTACAACCCTGCCACTCAAGCTGATTGGACAGCTAAAAAGCTAGTGTGGATTCCATCAGAACGCCATGGTTTTGAGGCGGCCAGTATCAAAGAAGAACGAGGAGATGAAGTTATGGTGGAGCTGGCGGAGAATGGAAAGAAAGCAATGGTCAACAAAGACGACATTCAGAAGATGAATCCACCTAAGTTTTCCAAGGTGGAGGATATGGCTGAGTTGACGTGCTTGAATGAAGCTTCTGTCTTACATAACCTGAAGGACCGCTACTATTCAGGACTTATCTACGTAAGTATTTTTCCAGATGTTAATGGAAATTGGTGATGGAGAATTAATGTAAATTATCTCATGTCATAATCAAGTGACAATGTAGAATATCCCCTACAATCTATTTAACAGTACTATTTCTGATAGATTCTTGCATTCACAATTGTTTTCTTTTAAATCTTAATGTGGTAGGTTTGAATAATCCAATCTGCAATTGTATATAGTAAAATGGTATCTGAATACTTTTTTAGTGGTGCCTTGGAGCATTGTAAGGTGAGAGGGTGAGAGAGCATGTGGCAGAAAGACCAGGACCTTAAAGTGATGAGCCTTACATCAGTAGACATTTTTTTTTTTTTTTTTTTTTTTTTTGCGATACCACGGATTGAACTCAGGACTCTGTGCTTGCCAGGCAGGTGCTTATTCTACTGAGTTATCTCCCCAACTCCCTTGCATCAGTAGCAGGATATAGACAACAAAATAGTAGGAAGTCAAGTGCCTATCCAGGACCATTAGGTCAAGGGGCTACACACAGGCTTAAAGGCTTCAGTAAGAACAAGGATATGGTATCTTCACTGATATACAGGAAAGCAGGAAAGAGGTTTTTAAGTGGAAACAGTTCAGGGTGAGATTGAAATTGTGGCTGTCCTTGGTTAGCTGCTGATATGTATATTTTAGTCACTGACCATGCCCTTGATCATATAGAAATTATAAAAATTAATAAAGGACAAGGTAGACAGGAAAAGTGCAAGCTACATACTAAAAAGGCTCTAGAAAAACAAAAATAAATTTGAGAGGAAGGGAGACAGAGGTGGCAAGGATTTGAAGAAAGTGGCATTGGATTGGTTTTAAACAGGACAAAGAAAATTTGTGAGAAAAGTTGACACGAGGGGTGGCTGAAATTGGAAAAAGGTATTGGAATTTTATACAAGGAATGTACCACTGAGGTTCATGAATAATTCAACATCTCAATCAGAACTAATATTCCTGTAGGAATTAGAGTATCTAAGGAATATTTACTGAACACTGCTGCGTTCTGGATGCTGGAGATGCCGGGGTAGCATGGAGAATAAGATGGGCTGGGTCCTGGAGTTGTGATGTTGCTGGTAAGGAGATGAAGCAGGGATATAGGCTGGGGAGAGGAGGAGAATGAACAGTCTCCCACAGAGGTCAGGGCAGGGCTCCTGGACGAGGCTGCAGTTAGGCTGCAGGCCTGCCTAACGGAGGGAAAGCTGAGCAATGAGTTGTGTGCTTGTGAACTTTGCTGGGGTTGCTTCTGTCAAGCTCGATGGGCTCCCTTGCTCTGTTTCAGTATGGGATGGGATGCAGAGTAAGAGAGGAAAAGGCAGCAGGACCAGGAAAGCCATTTGCGGAGAGTGGAATGATCTAGGAAAAGGGGAGAAGCCAAGATAAAAGCAACTGGGAAGCAGCATGGAGGATCCCATTGTGTGGAAGACGACTACTTTCTCGTCTGTCTCTGGGTCTGGCTGTGTGATTTTGCTCCAGGCCCAAGGGTGGAGGAACTTGGGTGTCCACTGCTGGCACAGAAGGTAACTTGTCCAGGATCTTTGATGTCAGGCTTCATAGGAATGAAAGTCTGGGTAGGAGAGACTGACGTGTAGATCAAGGGCTGGAGGTTTTAATGATGTTGATGTGCAGCATTCATGGGCACAGGGGTGTGAAAGAGCTAGAAAGTGAAGAGACTGGTCAGACAGTAGGTACTGTGGACCTAAGATTTGAGAAGTGGGCCTACTTTGCGTTAAGCCAGGTGCACCAACTTGAGGAGCAGAAGACTGCAGTGTGGAAGGAGACTGTGGCTGTGAAGGCAAACGATCAAAGATGTCCAAGTGTATTTTATTTGTGACCATTTCCCATGATAATTCTGAGATTTTTTTGCAGCTTTTATTGAGTTTGTTTATTTTCCTTTCCAACTTAACTCAGAATAACCTGGGTAAATTTGTGAATTTCTTTGCAAAGCATGGCCTCTGTGGTCCATGCAGGAGAATGGGAGTTTCTGTCACAAGTAGAGGTGGGGGTTTCGGAGGAGGAGCGCCTCTCCCGAGGCCGGTGCAGGAAGGTTTGCACTGAGGACATTTGCTAGAACACCGGCCTGTACAGAAGAGTATGAAGAGGGGAGTGGGCAGAGCTACCCTGCTGCGTGGGGGTACATTTGTTTTGGGTTTTGGAATTAACGGGTCAGGTGAGATTGATCAGTCAGTTAAAACCGATTGGTTGAAGTTCCATGATATAGATGCAGTATAATTGTATCACACCCTTTGGAGCATATTTCTGTAGATGACTTGTGTTGGAGTTTAAATTTAATTCAAATAAGTTAAGTTGCTAACAGATTTAGTTATGTTCTTTACTTGTTTTCTTTGGATTTATATTCCCTGACCTCTGGCTTCTTAGGTCATTAATTTTCATCTTCCTTCCTAATAAAACTCTGTGTCCCCTCTAACACCATTTTAGCTCACCTCAGAAGTCTTAATAGGTAGCATTTTTATTACTTAATTCTAAATATTTTGTAGTTTTTTTTTTTTTTTTTTTTTTTTGCGCAACCGGGGATTGAACTCAGGCCCTTTCTCTTGCCAGGGAAGCGCTTATTCTACTGCACCATCTCCCCGGCCCGTGTAATTTTTATTATAATTTCTTCTTCAGCCTCTAGACCTTTCAAACTTTTGAACATTTCCAAGTTTTGGGTTTTAAAGTTATCTTCTTGCTACTAATTTCTAAAAGTAATTGTATCATAGTCAAAGAATATTGTCTATAGATTGACTTACTTTTATTGAGACTTAAGTCTCACTAAAGGTTATTTTTATTGAGAAGTTGTGTAACATATTGCCATTTTTAATTAATGCCCTATATGTTTGCAAAGAATGTGTATTGCTTATTTTTGAGTGTAGGTTTCTGTATATGGCCATTAGGTTAAGCTTTTGATTATATTATTTGTACCTTCTATAGCCTGACTAATTTTTATCTGCTTGATCTATCGGTTACTGAGAGAAGTATGTTAAAAATCTTCCAGTGTGCTTTATTAACTGCGCATCCTTAAACAACGTGATTTAGTTTTGCCTGGTTTTCAATTTTTGTATAAATGAATCTCATAGTCTGTAGTCTTTTGTGTCTGTAAGTCTTTTGTTGTTTTACTTAGCATCACATTTTAAAGATTGATCCATATTATTTTGTGTAGCTGTAATTCCATAGTTTTGGACCTCTTGGGCTATTCCTAAAATCTCCTCAGGGAGGTTGAGAGATCAAAACTTATCATAATAATATGATGTTGTTTGCTTCTTTGACTATTGCCGTTTGTAACTGATGGTCCAAAAGCAATGATGAATAAAGTTTCTGACACTGTATCTTGGGGCTGGGAGATGGCTCAGTAGAGGCCTGAGTTCAATCCCTGGTTCTGCAAAAAAAAAAAAAAAAATAATAAAAAAAAAAAAAAAAAAAAATAATGATACCCCTTTTCTTTTTTTTGTTCGCGGAACCGGGGATTGAACTCAGGCCCTTGCACTTGCCAGGGAAGCACTTACTCCACTGAGCCATCTCCCCGGCCCCATGACACCTTATCTTGAATAAAGGTAGTGACCATACTCTCTACTAATTTTACTGCCTTTTATTAGCAGTTTTTAAAAAAAAATTCCAGTTTCACTCAAGGATGTCCTTGATGAAACTGGAAACATGATTGATTTTAAGTCTCAACACTTGAAAACACATCTTTATCAAATACCTGTCATGAATATGAATTAGAAATGATACTGTGAGTGTGAGAATGTGTCTTTCACCATTCTGTCTGATGCAGTGGTTAAGTGTGCATAGACAGTCTGGCACAGGTACATAATGATGGTTACTTGCGGGAAAAGCATGTGTCTAGTTATCTGAGTTGCAGGCTAGGCTTTTGATGTGATGGAATGACTGATGGCTAGCAGTGGTTACTCTCACAGAGGTATCTGGCAGACATTTTCTTGAAAATAAACAAAGTGAGCTTGTCACTTCCAAGAAAACATCTGACTGTATTTGTTGCCAGTGATAGAATTTCAGTTTTTACAGGAAAATTAGAATTGTGAGAAACTTGTACCCACCACCATGAACTCAACAGCTTGTCAATACTTAAAAACCTTTCTAGGGCTGGGGAGATGGCTCAGTAGAATAAGCACTTGCCTGCCAAGTGCAAGGGCCTGAGTTCAATCCCAGTACCGCCAAGAAAACCCCTTTCTGATGCAATAGATGGTGATGATAATGAAAGTGATTTTTTTTTTCTTTTTTTTGCGGTCATATAGTGAAATGACATCATGTGGAAGACTTGCATAATTCAGTGAGCCAGTATTTTCCAAATGAGGTACACATGATGTTACAGAATCATGCACTGGTAAAGATTAATTCAATACCAAGTCGCTGGATCTTGATGTAACGAGAGTATTAATTCACTGATTGGGCTAGCGATCCTGTTCTTTAATTAACTGTTACTTGTTCAGTTTTGGTAGTTTCAAAGAGAAATACCTTCAAAAATCTGAAAAGGTGGAATTACTCCTTTTTTCCAACTTAGTAGTGAATTTGTACAAGTCTGACTTACTTTATATACTTCAATGAAAAAACATATCACAATAGATTAAAATGCAGAAGCAGATATGAAAATTGAGCTGTTTTCTAGTAAGCCAGACAAAAAGTTTTACAAAAAAATGTATAAAATGTGCCACTCCTATCACTTTCTATTTTGGAAAACAAATACAAAACATTACCTTTTATAAGAAATGTTATTTCTGTTCATATGTACTGTGCTTGTAGTTTTTAAACAAATGAATATTCATTTCAAAAATCAGTGTATTTTATTTATTTCTTTTTAATATTTATGTGTGTGTGTGTGTGTGTGTGTGTGTGTGTGGCCAGCTCAGGCTGGTATGTGGTGCTGGGGGATTGAACCGCGGTCCCTGTGCTTTGCTAAGCTTGTTCTAAGTAGGTGCTTTAGACCACTGAGCCATCTCACCAGCCCTAAATAAAAATCAGTGTATTTTATGTAATACATA